CGCCGCGGATACCTGGCCGCCACCGGGCATTGCTTATCTAAAACAGGGGGGAAAAAAAGAGAAAAATTGTTCTGGGATATCTTCCCGATACATGAATACTGTATTTCCGATCAGCTCATCGCCGATCTCACCTTGCCCTACGACGCAAGCAATACCGGATACCTCATTCTCGCATTTCCTCTAATCCGCTTTTCGGAACAATGCTCATGTTGTGTAGTTGGCTGTTGATTAATCGCCTTTCTTCCCAGCTGCGCATGATGTGGTCCCGTTGCCACATGGATTGGATTGTCCGCCTGAAATTAGAACTACGAGGCTTGGGGAACTATGTTTTTTGCCCGCAATTTTAAAAGCGAGTGTCCCACTACAGCAAGAATCGCATCGAGAATTTTCCAGAATTTTGGTTTTCTCCGCCGGTAGAGTTGAGGTAACTTAATCCTGGAACGATGTCATAGATCCTACGCACATTCTGGACTCAAAATTTTCTATGTACAGTACATGAAGAACTCAATAGGTATACCCATTTTGACAATTAATATTCCCTGGATGGCTTGAGCTGAAGCTCACAGTAAAAAATATCGTGGAATATTTTTCTTGAGGAAATTCTCATGCTTGTGGCAGCTCGTCACACCAATTTGCTTATTGGAGCCAAGGAAATGTGAAAGTAGTTCAACATCATTTTATTTTTTCCAATTTTCAAGGTCATACAGATAAATTTGCTTGAATATCGGGGCTATTACGGTCTAATTTGCATTTGGATAGTATCAGTGAGTTGGGAAATCAAATTAAATGTATAATGCTGCAGTACACAAGCTCGAATATTCATCTAAGGATCTCTCACAATCCTGGCAGAGAATAACCTCCGCGACAGTTTTTTCGAAGCGAAATTTTCCCGTTATCCGATCACGTTTGCCCATTTTCTCACATTCCCCAAAAATGAGTCGGTCGAACGAACTTTAGTACAGTAGGGTACTTTTAAGAAGCTGTGCGACAAAACTTTTTCTCGTTTTCTGTATGGCGCAGTGCCTTGTTATTTATCCTGCTGAGAAACCGTTACGAATGAATGGTTTACGTAAACTTTTGCCCGAGAATTCGTGATTAACCGGAGACCTGCTTTGGACTCGCCGAAAGACAAGTTATTACGGAGGCTGTTACGTATACCTATATACCTGTTCGACACTCGTCAGAGGATTTCTTCCGCACTACAATTCAAGTTCCCTTAGAATCCTTCCTTCATGTTAGATGGTCATCCCCGTTTCCCTTGCACTCGTTTTAAAATTGAACCTGTCAAACGGATTTGAATATTACCTTGCCGCGAGTCTGTGAAAAACTTTTCTCGTGCTTTTCGCACCATATCATGGATTAGTATGCAGAAGTTACATTTTTGGTCACATAAAGCGAAAGTTATGCGTTGGGGAATATTACATATTCGATGGCTTTTGGGTTGAGCATAGGGATGACCAACGTGGTCGCAATAACCATCTTGCATTGGCCCTAACGTGATTGTGATTTTGAAGGAAGCAAGGGTTCAAGCCCTAATACTGTACTCGCAGGGCTTTTCAACCCGTGGTGCATGGGACACTTGTCCGGTGGTATACACGGAATCTTTTCATCATGGAAACAATGAGGGTGTTCAATGTGGACGTCTATGACTTTCCGTAGCTTGAACTAACAGCGCAGAACGGAAGGATCCAGTGAATGGTTCATCAAAGTACTGTATTCATTAAGGATCATTCGGCACTGAATAAAAAGTATAAGACAAGTACAGAACTAATTTCGTAGGAAAAGGATGAATAAAATTCAAGGACAAAGCTGTTGATGGAATTGAAACCCTGTAGATCTTGTGTCCACGGGGTAAACCCGTGGTGTAGCACGGGAAAACTGGCACATCTTGAAATAATTAGAATTTAGGAAAAACTTTGGAAAAATAAAATAAACCTGTTAATTTTATTGTGCCGGGCCTAGATGCTCTTGATGCTGGGGCATCGTTTCGGGTGATGGCATACATGCTTTCGTCCGAGGATTCTCGATTGACCCGACATCCCGGCAGACTCACTAAGACAAGCCAGAGGTGGGGTTGGAGGCATGAGGGGGGTTGGGTGTGTGAGAAATGCTGTCAACTACGTGATGCAGGACCGAGGTGCCCTGAGAAGAAATAATGCAATCGCACGCAAGACAGCATCCGGCATTTCGCCACTGTGGCTAGCCCTCCACTACATAGAAGTATTGCTATAAGAACAGAGGTTCCGCTGCGTGGGTTCCGGTGACATGACAAGATTCTCGCTATCTTGACGGCGGCTGATGAGAGTGCATCAGACACATCAGTATTCTGAAGCATCCCGGCTACAACAAATAATAACCGTAGACATTAAGGAATGCGGAGGATCCTCTCGGCTAAACACCGGGATCCAACGTTGTTTGTCTTGAAAACAATCTCGTAATCCGCGTTTGAATTCCCTTCAGGCGCTCGTTTAAATTCATGAGCCAAAACTTCCTATATTCGGAACACCGGAAATTATCTCAAAGCAAATAAACCGGGAGTCGCGCTGAAGATTAGGAGAAATATTTGATCTTGTCGACACATATTTACGCACAACTTGATGTCAAATACCTACGACGAGACTTTCATCCAACCGGATTGATTCCTTGATGGAAAGTATACGCATTCTACGCCTCTGAGATGTTCAAATTCAATTTCTTAGTCCACTATTTTTTTTCGTTGATTTAAAGACAATCACGCCGATGAGAAAAGATTAATGCAACCGATGCAATCAACTATAGTGAGACTTCTTGTTTGCGTCGAAAGATAAATTTCATTTCGTACGTTTGAGGCAATAACTTCCCATGGGGTTTACTTTATACAAATACCTTCGTTCGTGTTAGTAATCACGCGGAACGCACGCGTATCGTTATCATGTGGCCCTCGCTGATTAAACTCCAGTCTTCTGGAAATTCACAAAGCTCGAAAAACTTCGGAATAATCAAGGCATCCTATGTCTGCACGAGCGAATGACTAGTCAACATTCAACGTACACAAGCTGTTCTAAATTTTTAAAATCGCCATTATACCTTTTCATATCATTTTTCAGCTATTGAGAAACTCCGTTTGTGAACCATGCAGTTCCGGATTTCGTTCTTCCTCGGATCATGAAATTCGAAAGTTTTAGTTCAGTTCATTCGTACTTTACCATGGCAGGTAGTTTGCCCGACCCGGATTGCAATGATACATGATGAGATATTTTCCCATAACTTTCAAGTCCGTGATTCTCGTATACAGTTTTGTGCGAGGAAAACCGAATGTGAATTGATTGCTTTATATTTAAAAATTGGGTATGCTAGAGCAGCGTTCTCAACCCGTGGTTCGGGTTGAGACCAGCGCCGGTCTGCAGAAGTCTTTCGCCTGTCCACGGGAAGTTTCTCCAGGCTAATTAATTTTTCACAAGTAGCAATGAAGGACGTTACAGTATATTTATTTTTAATTTTTTCAAGACAATGGCAGTTAAATTTATCCCATGAAAAATATATCTTAGCTTTTCTCCTAATAATATTTCGGAAATTATTTTTTTTTACCTGATTTAATAAATTATTTTAATTTTGAGTATGAAAACCTTTCTTCAAGCCCACTTTCCCATTTTTTAAAGACATTCCACTATAGCTGCTTCATTGGTCCTGAATTAATTTTGCTAAAAAGCAGAAGCTTTTCAAATACCTGCCATTCAACCTGTCTATAAAGCAACACTTTTTTGAGCAAGCAAAAATTTTATGAAAATTTGCTTTTCCTCAGAAAATTTCATGAAACTTTTCCAGTCCGCAGAAAATTTTCTGGAAATTTGCCGGTCTGCGGAACCAAAGAGGTTGGGGAACGCTGTACTAGAGCAGTGTTCCTCAACCTATTTGGGCCCGCAGATTGACCGGCAAATTTCCATACTTTTTTTGCGGACTGGCAAATTTTGCAAAAATTTTCTGCGGACCGGCAACGTTTTGTAAAATTTGTGCACACTTTAAAAAGGTTTCCTGAAATACTTCGTGGCAGGTATTCAAAAATATTATGCTTTTTTTTAGAAGAACTTGAGTCAAGATCCAATTAAGCAGCTATTATGCAAATATTTCTCAGAATGAAAGATTTAAATGATTTATTTCAGCAGGTGAAATTTTGTCTGAAGTGTTATTAGGAGAAAATTTGACTTACTTTTCATGAGATAAGTTTCAACTGCAATTTTATTGCAAGAATTTCAGATAAAGATACTGTAACGTCCTTCATTGATAGTTCTGCTAAATTTATCATCCTTGAGGAAATTTCCCGCTGAGCGGCAAAAAAAAAATCTGCAGACCGGTGTTGGTCCGCGGACCACGGGTTGTGGAACACTGTGCTAGAGGATGAATACCGAACTTTAAAATTTTCACAAATTTTATAGTTCACTTGAAAATTAATCAAAGGCTGTCCTTATAGAAAATTTTGGACTAATTTGCATTCCGGAGATTTTTCGCATGATTTCAGCGTTGAACTGGTACATCGAACCGTTCGCTTCCATTCCATCTGTCGCTGTCACGTCTAGAATGAGGCTGATGAGGATCAGAAGTTCTCACTGATGAGAGACCGCTTTCCCGTGTACATAAGATGAGTTCTGCTAGAACAATCATCTCCCTATTATCCGCTAGCATTAGTTTCGAGATTGCATCCGGAATACGAGTACACCCAATCGCGGAACTTGGAAGAACAAAATCACTCGCACCAGATGCGGAGGATCAATAAAACACGTTGATAAGCATTTTTCTCACAATAGGTTTTTATCAATCGAAAGCGTCGCCGAAAACTTCCGCGATTCCTTTGTTCTTGCAGGAATTAATTCCTTTCCACGGTTCGATAATGCATTGCCCAGCAGTGAAGTTTCGAATGGAAGAGGTTTGAAATGTCTGGAAGATGTTTAGAAATCGGAATACTGTACCGATAAACGCTTTCATTTCGTTTGTATATCCTGAAACCAACTTACGGTCTGTTTCAGAACCATTATGGCTACGAGCTCTTGTCCAGAGAATTTCTTGCGAAAATTCCGGGATCGACACAGCCGAAAAATGAGAACTCTGAGCGCTGTACAATTCATGGAAATATGGAAGCATTACGACATCGACGGTAAGTCTATTTCCGTCCGCTGTATTTGGATTAGCCCTTGGCTCTTGATTGGAACAGGACGATAAACCTCGATTCCTCGTGTGATTACCACTCGCGTCGAGGATCGCTTTCCAATAATTGCTTACTTTCTGATCGTCGACAATGCGTCGTTGACCTCGCCCAATAGCAGCGGAATGCTTTATGAGAACAAAGCACACTATTGGGGAAGAGAAACCGCTAATTTTCTTCTCGCAAAATTTTCAGGCAGTGGCAGCCGAAATTTCGAATAAAAATCGCTTTTCGAAAGGTTCGCTATCCATGGATGATGCTTCGAAACTTCTTTGAAATTGGCCAGTTTTGAGATGTCATGAAAATACATATTTTCATCACTTCTTATCCAAATTTTTATTTTTAAAACATTTTGATTGAATTACAATAAATTGTAATAAATTAGCTATAATCGTCGATATGAAATTTGCATATGAAATTGATTTCTACTTCTTAGCATTGGGAGATTTATGGATAAATCAGAAGTGTTGGATGAATCGGGCTTGAGTAACACTGCTGCTGATCTACTTTTCATTTCATCATCCGAAATTATCCCAAAATTTTAAACTTGCCGAATGAAATTTGTAAGCATCAAGGATTCAGTAATTGTATCGTGGTCCCTGCTGAGAACGTTAATCAGAGAAAATTCAAATAATTCATAAAATGTTACAGTAAGCAATTTATTATACTGCTGCACTTATTCTCGCTCGAAGATAATGTGGTGGGTAATTCCGTCTCGTGCAAAATAGCCAGGATTTCTTATGCAGAAATCCAAAATCATCGTTGCCAAAATACATATACTGTAATTGGCAAGGTTTTTAATCCGAAGTTTTCTCAAAGTTGATTTCAGCAGGAAACATGTTCATCAGGCGTAAATATGCTGCAGTCACAATGTTTGAACAACATCATAAATGTGCAGCAGAACCGAAAGAATGACTATCCTTGAAATTCCTCAGAATTTGAATTTTTCAAAACATTCCTTTCCAAAAAAAAAGTATCATGACTATAAGCTAGAATTTCATCAAAATCTATTTATACTCTTCAATGCCTTGATGTAGAGCTAACTCATAATGCGTCCAATTTTATTGTTTGATATTATTAATAGGATGGGTTTTTATTTACTTGCCGCATACGATGCATGATTATTCGATATTGACGAGCTGGTATGCCGTCAAACGAATAGTTTTCCGCATTAAATGTGCATCAAACAGTACTTCCCTTTGTCGGCACTCGTGCTCATATACAGTGAAAATTAAAATTTTCGGTTCCCAGCAGCGGTCTCCGCAAAATTTGCGTCATCCAATTTCGGAAATGCCCCGCATCGTAAAGTATGATTTTTCACTGACGAACATAAAAACAGAATAATGAAATTTCAAGCCCTGCATCAGAGACTTCGGTTGTGTTTGATTCGATTATATTACAATAGTTCTGTTATAATTTTGCCTTATTTTCGCTAAAGCAGTGCTCTAAAATCGCGCAATTCCGAGTTGAGCCTCGTCCTAATATTTTATTCGCTGCAGGAAACGGCTATATCGAAGGCTCCGAGCTGGACAGTTTCCTGCGAGAATTCGCGTCAAGCCTCAACGCTCCTGACGTGAATCCCGATGTGAGTCTCATTTCTGGACCAGGAAGGCTGTTTTGCATGATTGCGGTACTTTGCTTTTTGCGCAGAGCGTTCCGGATTCGATGCTGGAGCAGCTGAAGGAGTGTTTCATGGAGGCCTACGACGACAACCGCGACGGGAAAATCGAGATCCGGGAGGCGAGTCTTCCCATAGATTTTTTTTTTTTTCAAAGTGGACCTACCTTTAATCGTTAAACTATCGCCATTACCACATCTCAGCTCGCCCAGCTGCTTCCGATGGAAGAAAACTTTCTGCTGCTCTTCCGTTTCGACAACCCGCTCGACTCCAGCATCGATTTCATGAAGGTTGGAAAATACTGCATAAGCCCCTCCAGGAAAAATCCTCGGATGTCATAAATTCTTAAATATTTGTCCACGGAAATCCTTATCATTTCCCAACTTGATTTTTCAGACTTGGAGGAAATATGACACCGACAACAACGGTTCCATCGATTCGGACGAGTTGAAGGTATTGCCGAATCGCTTCGTTGACACTAAAAAGTCTTTAAATTGAGAAAACATTTTGAATTTCGTCATCAATCAAGTGACTCAGAATTTTCTCTCTGTTGATAATTGCAGAGAAACTTTAGTTACCGTACATGAGCTTCTGAATGAAAACCGAGACGATGTGAAGATCATTCGTCCATAGGCTACTTCGATTCCTTTAATCAACTTGATTGCCCGGGCTAATGACCTGATGCTTCCTCCAGGGTTATCAGATATTAGGGATAATCAGTAACAAATGAAAAGCAAATACCGAGAGACAAAATATATTCAACGATGAACTGGCGTGATACGATATCAATAACCATCGTGACAATCTCAAAAAGAAACACGGTTTCCAGATTCCCTCCTGAACTTTTCTCTCAGAAATCCAGAAATCGTTGACTTCCGGTTATGTTGGCTTCTTATTGTTAAATGGCCACTTTGATTGTAAATAATGCGTTGGTGCTGTTCTGATTTATTATCATTTTGAAATGAAAATCAGATGAATTTCTGAATGAGCTCCACTGAAGTAAATTATGCGTACAGCTTGAACGGATATAAGGCTGACTTGCTTTCTCTGATCAACTTCATGGTCGGGATCGGTCAACTGACGCTGGGAAGATCGATGCTCTAATTGCTGGCTCGAAGAATTCTAATGATTCAGACGCATCATGTCACGATAAACCTCGATTCCTCGTGTGATTACCACTCGCGTCGAGGATCGCTTTCCAATAATTGCTTACTTTCTGATCGTCGACAATGCGTCGTTGACCTCGCCCAATAGCAGCGGAATGCTTTATGAGAGAGAACAAAGCAAAAACTATTGGGAAAGAGAAGCCGGTAATTTTCTTCTCGCAAAATTTTCAGGCAGTGGCAGCCGAAATTTCGAATAAAAATCGCTTTTCGAAAGGTTCGCTATCGATCAATGATGCTTCGAAACTTCTTTGAAATTGGCCAGTTTTGAGATGTCATGAAAATAAATATTTTCATCACTTCTTATCCAAATTCTATTTTAAAAACATTTTGATTGAATTACAATAAATTTTAATAAATTAGCTATAATCGTCGCTATGAAATTGGCATATGAAATTGATTTCTACTTTTTAGCATTGGGAGATTTATGGATAAATCAGAAGTGTTGGATGAATCGGGCTTGAGTAACACTGCTGTTGATCTACATTTCATTTCATCATCCGAAATTATCCCAAAATTTTAAACTTGCCGAATGAAATTTGTAAGCATCAAGGATTCAGTAATTGTATCGTGATCGCTGAGAACGTTAATCGGAGAAAATTCAAATATTTCATAAAATTTTACAGTAAGCAATTTATTATACTGCACTTCACGCTCGAAGATAATGTGTAGGTAATTCCGTCTCGTGCAAAATAGCCAGGATTTCTTATGCAGGAATCCAAAATCATCGTTGCCCAAAATCCATATACTGTAATTGGCAAGGTTTTTAATCCGAAGTTTCCTCAAAGTTGATTTCAGCAGGATAAATGTTCATCAGGCGTAAATATGCTGCAGTCACAGTGTTTGAACAACATCATAAATGTGCAGCAGACCCGAAAGAATGACTATCCTTGAAATTCCTCAGAATTTGATTTTTCAAAACATTCCTTTCCAAAAAAAAAGTATCATGACTATAAGCTAGGATTTCATCAAAATCTATTTATGCTCTTCAACGCCTTGATGTAGAGCCAACTCATAATGCGTCCAATTTTATTGTTTGCGATTATTAATAGGATGGGTTTTTATTTATTTGCCGCATACGATGCATGATTACTTCGATATTGACGAGCTGGTATGCCGTCAAACGAATAGTTATCCGCATTAAATGTGCATCAAACAGTACTTCCCTTTGTCGGCACTCGTGCTCATATACAGTGAAAATTAAAATTTTAGGTTCCCAGCAGCGGTCTCCAGTTTTAAACGCAGTAGGTTAAAGCCTTTACGGGGCGTAGCATTTCATACTAAAAAGTGACTGCTTGTATTTTTGTCTTATTACTTTAAAGTTCGGGACGTAGTCTCTGAAGCCAACACAAACTAAGCATTATATTACAATAGTTCTGTTATAATTTTGCCTTATTTTCGCTAAAGCAGTGCTCTAAAATCGCGCAATTCCGAGTTGAGCCTCGTCCTAATATTTTATTCGCTGCAGGAAACGGCTATATCGAAGGCTCCGAGCTGGACAGTTTCCTGCGAGAATTCGCGTCAAGCCTCAACGCTCCTGACGTGAATCCCGATGTGAGTCTCATTTCTGGACCAGGAAGGCTGTTTTGCATGATTGCGGTACTTTGCTTTTTGCGCAGAGCGTTCCGGATTCGATGCTGGAGCAGCTGAAGGAGTGTTTCATGGAGGCCTACGACGACAACCGCGACGGGAAAATCGAGATCCGGGAGGCGAGTCTTCCCATAGATTTTTTTTTTTTTCAAAGTGGACCTACCTTTAATCGTTAAACTATCGCCATTACCACATCTCAGCTCGCCCAGCTGCTTCCGATGGAAGAAAACTTTCTGCTGCTCTTCCGTTTCGACAACCCGCTCGACTCCAGCATCGATTTCATGAAGGTTGGAAAATACTGCATAAGCCCCTCCAGGAAAAATCCTCGGATGTCATAAATTCTTAAATATTTGTCCACGGAAATCCTTATCATTTCCCAACTTGATTTTTCAGACTTGGAGGAAATATGACACCGACAACAACGGTTCCATCGATTCGGACGAGTTGAAGGTATTGCCGAATCGCTTCGTTGACACTAAAAAGTCTTTAAATTGAGAAAACATTTTGAATTTCGTCATCAATCAAGTGACTCAGAATTTTNAATATGACACCGACAACAACGGTTCCATCGATTCGGACGAGTTGAAGGTATTGCCGAATCGCTTCGTTGACACTAAAAAGTCTTTAAATTGAGAAAACATTTTGAATTTCGTCATCAATCAAGTGACCCAGAATTTTCTCTCTGTTGATAATTGCAGAGAAACTTCAGTTACCGTACATGAACTTCTGAATGAAAACCGAAACGATGTGAAGATCATTCGTCCATAGGCTACTTCGATTCCTTTAATCAACTTGATTACCCGGGCTAATGGCCTGATGCTTCCTCCAAGGTTATCAGATATTAGGGATAATCAGAAACAAATGAAAAGGAAATACCGAGAGACAAAATATATTCAACGATGAACTGGCGTGATACGATATCAATAACCATCGTGACAATCTCAAAAAGAAACACGGTTTCCAGATTCCCTCGTGAACTTTTCTCTCAGAAATCCAGAAATCGTTGACTTCCGGTTATGTTGGTTTATTATTGTTAAATGGCCACTTTGATTGTAAATAATGCGTTGGTGCTGTTCTGATTTATTATCATTTTGAAATGAAAATCAGGTGAATTTCTAAATGAGCTCCACTGAAGTAAATTATGCGTACAGCTTAGAACGGATATAAGGCTGACTTGCTTTCTCTGATCAACTTCATGGTCGGGATCGGTCAACTGACGCTGGGAAGATCGATGCTCTAATTGCTGGCTCGAAGAATTCTAATGATTCAGACGCATCATGTCCGACATGGTGGTGAGAAAACGGAGTGTGTCGGGACTTCCGGGATCTGGTGAACGGGGCGCGGTATTGTTTGGACCTGCAGACCGCGTCGAGAATGTTGGGTCCGCTAATAGTGAGAAATGGCTCGTCCCACAGGAGAATTACACGCCAGAGCAGGACGAACCGAAGGCGTTTGGTCTGACGTGAATTCAATCAATCCCTCGGCGCAGCGCGTTCCCGTCGACTGCGATCAAGCTTACATTCACTCCGAATAAAACAAAAAATGGAATAACTGCGGCTTTCCCACCCCGAAAGTGGCATCTCACTTTTTTCAATTATTCTCGATCACTCCTTACTGTTCGGTTTTATTTTCTCTCTACATCTGGGCCTTGAAATGCTCGTCGTATAGGCGAAGGAATCAATCCTTTCCGCTAGCTGAGTTTCCACGGGTTTCGTAGGACTTTCCGGTCGAGAGGGATCCCTCGAGTCCTTTCGCTTTTCATTTTCATGCGGGAATGTGTTTCCTGCAACGAAAGTAAGGATGCTTTCGATCCCTGAGACGAATTCTGATGACAGTTCCCGCGGGCGCCGAACGAATTCCGGTGCCTGGAGATTTTCTCGCCAGGAATGCTTTCTTTCCTGCGGACGCTCTCAACACCTCAACCGGAATCACTTCCCCCGTGCACTCTCGCAACGATACACCTAAATGCGGCTCTCCGGAACAACTGCAATATTTTTCCGCCTCGGGTGGTTTCTAGGAACTAAAGCGACCCATGTGACATTCCCTTACTTTGAGTAATCACGATTTTCCGTGAGCTCTTGAAATCTCAGCATCCGAACGCCCCGTCAAGTATGAAGCAGAGTTCGTCGTGTCACGCGATAGACAATTTTATTCATCGACAATCACTGTAGCTCTGGTTCTTCATACTTTTCTTTGCTTCTAAGTTACAAAGGATTTTCTATTTCTTCCCATTTTTTGCGGAATTTTTCAAGACAGTCCTGTAATTTTTCTGAACGATGACTTCACTTATGATTACGATTCCTACACTTTTTCCGTAATTTAAGTTAAGTTTAGCTCAGATTATTTGGGTTGATGACCGGCTACCTTCGCCTAGATAATAAAATTACAAGAATACTGTACTGTACTAATTCATTCATGCATGGGATGAATCATGTAAGAGAAATCAATTTGAAAAATGATCTGACTCCGGCGCTCCCGCGAACCTTGAATGCATCGGCACAGACTAAGAATCTCTAATGATCGACATAAAAAATATGGTTCTACTACTGTATTTTGATATGTTTTAATAATTTGAAAATGTTTCTAAAAACGAAAAGATAAACGCCAATGATACAAAACGAAAAACAACCACATTCCATTCGATTCAATAAAAAATAAAATGCACCAACATGGAATCAAATTAAATTTTGAACTGCTCGAGCCGCTTCGTTTCCATTTGATGACCCCACGTTTTTGGCAAGATTCAATCGTACCACCAGGTAGTATGAGTCCAATATATTTTTAAAACGTGATAAAAACAGTTTAGTTTTGAAAATAAACTCGACGTCCTTCATAAGGCATCAATCATTTATGAATGAAAATCCTGCAGTGATATGAATTTAAAATGTAACCGGTGATACGCTATTTGGGGCAAAATTTATCTGAACAAACGTTTATAAGGCTTCAATGGGTGAAACACATCCTGTGTTCTCGGGTGATTTCATGACTGCAAACTAGGAAATACTGGAGAGATTCGGTATTTCCTTTATTGGATTTTGGCTTTTGAATTTTGTAGAGCTTCCTGCGGGATTTGCTGAAAGAGGCGAGAAAGATCTCGGAGGTCACAGAAGGCCAGCTGGATGAATACACACAATCAATCGTGAGTAACGAAGACGTGTAGCCTTTCACCACATGTTCTGCGATGAGATATGGCGGTCCCAAATTTGCCATACAAACGTATATATTTTTACTATATTTTAGCTGACCGTATTCGACACGAACAACGACGGAAAGCTTCAGCTTTGCGAAATGTCGAAGTGAGTAGTATGAGGAACTTTTGAATCCTTTCAACGGAAGAGACCGCTTTGTGAATAAATCCAGAGAATGGGATGAATATCCGACTGAGTTAGATCAGGCTCCTTCTGTCGGCTTTATATCATGATAGCATCATTTTTTCACAACCTGAGTGATCTCTGGTGCCATTCGGTTGTATGCTGCCATGCTGCAAAAAAAGATAAGTTAATAATTCAGATTTAAAAGGGTCTATTTCCTTTTTTACTTCCTCGTGCGCGATAATTCATCTTTACACTTGACTACCTCCAGTCGGCACATTTTAATGCTTATTTGCAGGTTGCTCCCGGTGAAGGAAAACGTCTTTTGCCAGAAGAAGTTCAGGGAAATGCTGGTAACTTCCTTTCATTGAGGGCAGAATCCCAAAATCTATCTACAGGTATAATTTTTTTTCAGGGAGAAGCGGATGTTTGTAAAAACGACATCGAGCGCGTATTCAAAATCTACGATCGAGTGAGCGTTCGAAATAGTTCGTCTAGCCTTTTGATTAATTCAATCTTTGATGCTTTCTTATATTCAGGACAACAGTGGATCAATTGATGGAGAGGAGCTTCGTGGTTTGTTGAAAGACCTCCTGGATCTGGCGAAAAAGGTAACAGAAAGAATTCTACGGAGCCAGTTAACGAATTTTTTTCCACGGGAAGTGATTTATATTTTTCATGATTTTTTTTAACGAACAAGAACAATGGTCGGGTTTCGTTAATATTAATAACTTACTACTCGGGTACGTGTTGAGTTCTCGGATTGAAGCACTCACGTTTATTGTCCTCATTATAGTCCTATTCTGCCTCGGACTTGTACGAACTGCAAAAGATCATTATGCAAGCATGTGACATGGACAAGGATGGAAAGATTTGCCAGAAGGAGCTGACGATGATCCTGCTAGCTTTGTCGAGGACCAAGGCTGCGAAGGAGCTGATTTTGTAATCGCGCGTAGAAAACTATTCTGCCTGCTTTCTGTTTTCTAGCGCAGTTAATAACTGACGCGGCTTGAAAAATCTTCGGCCGGTCGGAAGCTATTTAACCCAGACGGATTTGTGCTATTTTCTGTCGCACTAATCGCTTTTCAAATCGAAATATCAACCATCTCAAGAATCTGCACTTTACATTGTTGACCTTTGAACACGAGACACCTAAGTAAGTCGTTTTACAAAAACGGGAAAAATTGTTCCTTCGTACTGATCCAATTCATTTTCTCAAGAATATTGGGCCATTGATGTCGGCTTTCTTCAAGCCTGGTAATCATCGTAGTTTCAATAACTGAGTATATGCCCAACGTACGCTTGGATGTCGCCGCTTCGTTTTTTTTTCGTGTTCTTGATGTAATTACATTTGCGACCCTTCCTGAACAGCGTCCTAGCAACAAAAAAGCAAAAAACAAAAAACGTGGATCTTCCCGTCATCACTCTATTTCCATTCCTGTCAGATAATCGATATGTGGTGCTTTCTGAAAGTGATGAATGGTGAAGCAAAAAAAAAATGTTCCCGTTTGGAAAGAGCCAGACATGTTAATTATACAGTATGTGTACAGTACCATTAACAGACCTAATGTATCATGCGAAAGAAAATACGACATGGGAATACGCTTCAAAAACCTTAAAGATTGTCCCAGAAAAGTCGTCATTTGCGGAATCGTGAGATTTAATCGCGAAATCCATGCTTCTTTAGCTTTTGAAAAACATTTTCTAGCTTGTCACCAAGAGGAACGAGTTAAGCTTTTCAGCGCTGAATGCGATGGATCCGTGCCAAAGCAATCAAATAAAATATGTTACAGAATGACTCGACCAATTTCCCCCATATTGTACTTGAATAATATCAATGATAAAATATTTGTGGCGAACGACATCGCCTTGCTCCTCTTTGAATAATCGGAAACCCCGGGCATTGCTCATAACCGAATACGGGCATGAGCAAACAGCAAATATTTTCAGTTCTTTCGAAAAGGATTGTTTTCATAGATCACGATCTTAACAATTTTTTCTTTGTTCTCCAAAAATATTAGAAGAAGATGCGGTTGATTATTCGAAGATTGTCTAAGATCTTTCCATATCGTAGCTTCCTTCTTGCTTCATATACATAATTATACGTATATGAGCCGGGGAAAATGAGATTATGCAAAGTAAAATTTGAAACCGTAGTTATTTGAATTGGAATCAAAATGAAATGTGCCATTCATGTGCAAGAGCCACGATGACTGCAAAAATATATGTGACCCCCTAATTTTCATGGCCGCAGAATTCCACCTGCTTTGGTTATACTGGAAGAAACATCTGGGCAATTTAAAATATATTGCGAGATACATGTCAAATGAAAAAAGGCTTGCAGAAAAAATTTAATGATTTCAGAACATGATCCAATTGCTGCTGGCACTTTCCTTGATACAGAAAACGAGTGCACCTGAACTTAAAATTCAGGCCGTGATCACTCATTTTGGGTACAATCGATACAAATACTGTACAGTACATCACTTTGCCGAAATCACTGTGCAAAAATGGTGCTTTTCAGAATGCTTGACACTTTAAAATTATTATCAATTGACATACATTACGCACAATTTAGTTTTGTATTCATTTTTTAAAAACTAAAAGTGCCAAATATTGAAAATGCGACGAGGTTCGCTCATTCTAGAAATATTATTTGAACTTTTAATGTCAACCCCATGTTTAAGCGTCGTGTCCCACGCGCATTCAACTATGCAGAAATGTATGAAAAAATGGACTAGTTGTGTGAAACTCGCCCGTTTCTTCAGGAATCACAAGAACTTTAATTTCTATGCTGATTTTCAGATGAGAAAAGGGTCCGCGCGGTACAAACGTGAGCATGGAATTTTCTTCGCAGGATTTAAAACCATAAAAAAGGGTCGTGCATCGGAAGTAATTTTAAATTATCATCTAGAATTCATATACCGAAATGTTCTAGGATAGAAAAAGACGCTGGAAGCCAACCTTATTCTTGGAATAATCAGGGACCTGGTATTCTCAGTATGTATGTATTGCTGCATGCAATTATGAGATCCCATAAATGCTGTTTTGCGTGGCATTCGAACGTTCTGGGAATTCGAATGAAGAAAAAAGCTTACCAACGACTCGGCATGAAGATTCCTGTTGTTTTTTCCTTCTGATTATGTAACTGGACTCGATGAAGCTTCAATTCTATCACACAAAGAAATCAAGCGTCATCGGAATGTTCCCCGCGATTATCTTGGATGCGGAGAGAAATTGGCGGTTTTGTTTCTTTTGATTCGCATGAGTATCCCAAAAATCAGAATATTTTGTGCCTTGCACTATACGCAGCGATCCGAGTATTCACTTGAACACTGCTGGAACTAAATTTTTCTCGAAGAATTACGTGTATTCATGGGATTCATGTTTTTTGTGACTTGTTCCACTGAGAGACAAAAACTTTTCATGGATTCAAAAACAAGTAAAGATTTCTGAAATGGAAGCGTGTGCTTGAGTGCTCCACATTTCTTCGTGGTGTGGAGCTCTTGCGGAATTGTTTGGGTGTTTGTTCGTGTTGAGCTTTCATTGAGATTTCTTCGAATTCCGGTTGCATCGGATCAATTACTTAGCATGCTCGAGTATTAGACGGTCGATGTGCTCCGTGCGGTGTTGGAAAAATCCTCATGTTGTTTTGAAGTCGCTGAGTTTCTTGCGGGGTCGAACTCCACTGAAATTATTCGCGGTTTCCGCTTCGCTTTCTCAATGGTTTTCAGTTACCGAAATGTGGATGTGAATATTTGGATTCTCATGCAATGACGAAAAGTAGTCAAATGGAGAGGATTCGTTCAAAGAAACTATTTCATTTTTTCCACATTTTACAGGGACAAAATTTTAGGCGAACAGATGATTACCAAAAGAGATAGCTGAATTCGATTTCATCGATGACTCGGAGGAGGGACGACTATGGATCGAGCGACATCTATACTGCATATCCAGCAAAAAAGAATAAACTTCCTAATGCTCAGAAAGGTGTAGCTCTTCGATGTCTCAGCGAATGATGCCCAGAACAAAACTGCTTCCTCGCTGTTATCCGTCGTATCATTAAAATAAACGTTCTAAAAAGCTTAATGACCTGAGCGCATCTAATTCAACCCTTTTCGAAACTCCGAAGATGAGTTAATCTCATCCAGCGGATCACTGCGGCATTTCATCCTATTTTTCCATAAGCGGACTTCGACTACAAAAATCCGAAGAGAGTCTGATGACGCATCTTCGGGGCACACAAAAAAACGAAGTACTGTACTGTATGTGTACTGTACTGTGAATCCATCCTCTTGGCATTACTAACAGAGAAAACTATAGGCGATGAGCATTATATTCGTATAAATCATTAAAATTCTCTCGGTTCAAGAACATAGCACCGTAGTTCATGTCCTTTTTGTGGATCCCAATGCTTAGAATCGTAATCCCTTTAAAATACTGTACTTCACTAATCCACAGTCTACAGTTCCACACGATCAGCACGAAACAAGAAAATCATAGTTTTTATTACTTGAACCAACAGAAGGTATATTGTTCAAGCTTATCGCATTGCGGGTGTATAAGGCAAAAATGTCCGCAGACGAACCAATTAAAATTAAAATTGAGTGGTTGGCAATTTCTTTCATCAGACATTTCAGTCGTTACACAGTGAACGTTATTGATCCAAAACTAAGTTAACGGCATACGTACAGAATTCATAAATCTTAGTGAAGCATTCAACCTATATAGCTTCAGAAAACCTAGTAGGTTTCGGTTTTACTCTGAGTGCTGCACACTGCATTCTGCACAGGAAATCACCACAATGAGCGAAATAGCCTGTTCATGTCATTTAAATTTCATCTGAAGAAGATGCGCTTAAAGCTATTTTGTTGAATACTGTATTGTCGATTAAGGACTGGGAGATTCGTTTTCAAGAACGCAATGGATTTCACAACCCGGTGCAGTATTTAATACGCTCATTGCAGATTGTACCATGATCGTTCCCCATCGTTGAAATACCCTGTACGAAAACTTTTAATCCATATGTTTTTTAAAAATTGGTGGAATAAGCTGTAGGAAAACTTTTTTTTTACAAAAACCATATTGTAGATTGTGCCATGGGCGTTCCCCATCGGCAACATAAACTACGAGTGGACAAGACGCTCTAATTTCTGCGTTACAAATCAAGGACTAAGAATAATAATGTGTGTCTCCACTTATTCAGGAGAACCAGGCGCGGCTTTTTGTTGCGTCCAGCTCGATCACAATAACCTCGGGAGAATGATTTCAGGAGGAAAATATTAATTTCTGTCAACTTCATTCATACTGAATAGTAAATTACGTTGTTCGAACAACATTAAAAATCACAAACGTTGCTAATTGAACGAATGAACTTTGAAATGCAACGAAATATGACGTATATGAATAATTTGGTTATCCACAGGCAAACTCATCACCGACATAATAATTAATGAAATTTCGAAAGCGCCGAGTGCGCATAAATGATCTTGATATTTTCTCATATCTACTTTTCTCGCCTTGCGCAATCGTATTCGTGTACAGTATGCCGCAGATCGGACTATAGTCACGGATGTGGCGGCCTGCTCAAGACCAGTGCGAAAGGCTAAAATTAGCAGAGAAACCTAACTGTTAGATAAATGCTCCTGATCTCATCAAGTCACACATCGTCGCCGGAGTCGTAGGATGAAAGGAATAACCGCGATTCATCCATCCAATATATATTTCGCGAAGACGTTCAGCATATTTTACACATTTACCTAGAACAGGAAACTGTGCATTAAAAACCATCGCCAAGAGCATCCTGTTAAAAATCTTGTCAATTTCATCTTCAGCGCCAGGTGAAGTCATGACGAAAATGATTAAAAATCGATAAAACGATTGTCCCTACATTTTGGTTATGTTACTAAAAGGATGATTCACTATAAAGATTTCATAGCGAACATGCAGTTCTCAGCGAGGGTCCCTCTTTTGAACCAACAAGATGATTTCTAACCCATTCCCTGCCATAATATGGGCTTCTCTTATCTCAAAATTTCTTCCAGCTTATGTCGCATATTTTTCTACATTTATTAAGTCCGATATGAATTTTAAAACGTATAAGTGACCCACGTGAGAGTAGTCTGCACTTCTCAAATCGTAAGGAACGCACTTATTGAAGCTTGAACCGGCTACTTATCATCAGCGATCCATAAAAATGGATTAATTGCTGCTCGAATAGTATCCAGCTGCAATGCTTTGGGCTGGCTCATGATTTACCGGGTTGAATTAATTATTTTTCATCTCTTAGCCGGAAGCGGATTTATCACCATCGGAACTCATGCTTCACTTTTCATGGTTGAGAGCATTACACATTTTAACAACTTCGGTTGATTCGCCAGGCCAATGAGCTGCCAATACGAGGACTCATGGAAGGAATTGTTTTCGAAATATCTCAAAGTACTTGAACATAAAAACAACTTGAAATACGATGTAATCTGTGCCCCGTTTATCAGAACCATGGCGAGATGAAGGGTGTTGAAATTCGTGGGCGTTGCTACGGTTTTTCAAGTCCGTTTTAACCACGAAAAAGCCCGAAAAATGATGTTCAGGAACCTTCATATCAGGAATCCTACCCATAAAAAGAATAATCAAGACCTGAAAACTGTTTCGAACAATTGCGGTTTAACGTGGATTGATATTTCAAACACGAAGTGTCATTAGTTCTGCAGAAATAGCAATGGTACAGAAGGTTTTTACCTCGAGCATCATTATGTCTCCCGAAATTCGTTAAAAATTCAGTTTTTAGAATTTTTAACGAATTATCTCCAGAAAGAGGGTGAGTTCCCAGCTTACAATGCACAGAGTCATTTTTGAAAAACACGTCTACCACGTTTTTCGGACATCCGTCTAATACAGTACTGTACTCTGATCATTTTCCGGTTTGGACTTGATTTACTATTCAGAAAATGCAGTAACTGTTTAGACTCGTAATCTGCCAGTTTTCGCTGTACCAAGCCAAAACTATCTCCCGTTTACTGTACTTGGACTTCAGAGACGGATCTTTGCCATGTCTGCTTATACTGTATACCCATATTTACTTGAGTACCCTGCGCTCTGGAGTAAGGCGCGCACAGGGGTTTTTCAGTTAAAAATTTGGATAAAATTGTATCCCCAAGTAAGAAGCGCACCCCATTTTTAGGGACTCTGAAACCACAAAATTTCGAAAATTAAAACCAAAAATTCGAATTTTGATGTGAATTGAACATGAATCTGATAAATTTTCAAATTTTTCAGTAAAAAAAGTTTTCTTGGTACATTTGTCACACATTTCTCCATTAAAATCAAGTATAATTAACACACAACTTCCTAAAACTTCTTGAAAATTTTGTACCCGCTTATGACGCACACCCCTTTTTTTCTTCTGAAATTTGAGAAAAAAGGTGCGCGTGGTACTCGAGTAAATATGGTACTCACAATTCTGTGGGTCTGCTCTGGACCAAAGTTTCCTTTATGCATAAAAAAAAAGATGGGTCAGAAAAAATTGAGGAAATAGGTCTTGTGCATGTTGAAATGGGGAAAAAAAGGCCGAATTGTGTGGATGCTTGAACCGTTGAGCCTGCTGGCCGAAGTCCGCGTTTTCACTTTGTTGCGAGGTAATTGTTACATTTTGTCTCACGTAGTAGAAACATGCCACTATGTCTAGCCGCTGGGTTGAACCCAAAGAGTGAACCAGAAACGCCACAATTCAGGTACTGATTCCCGGCACAAGATCAAAGCTAGGTGAGTCAGAACACATCAGCTGCGTCAAGCTGCGAGTCCCTTGCCCCGCTGACGACTTCTTGCCCTTCGCATTTATCCTCGGCGCATATATTTCGGAATCGCCGCATGACATACTGCAATATTCGAGATTCACATTTATATTGTACACTATGTACAGTATTTACTGTAGTGTACTTTCAAACCGTGTAAGTCCTATACCATGTCTGTAAAAATTTCCTCTTGAAATAACGGGAATGACATCAGCCAATGTTTTGGCGACAGAAGCGCACCTCGTTTTGTTCGTGAGTCTTGGGTAACACATTTGGAGTATCAGCAACGTTTCTACCCAATTTTCAGCATGCATAAACGCAAGAACTAAAATGCTGTAATACTCAATTTTGACTCGCATAAGATCGAAGACATTTGAAATCTTATTCCGCTGTTCTACATTAAACGTTCTTCGGTGGAAAAATTGAACCAAAAATCAATAGCACGGGTTGGTGCAAATTTATGAAGCAAACTGAATTTTCCGACAAAAAGCTTTGATTGAAAATAAAAGGCATCCGCCATTGTGTCAGTTCATAAAAGTCACCCGTATCTTTCATCAAAAACTCAGAACAATTCGTGCGGAATAAAAATTTAAATTTAATGGTACAGTACTGTATAAAAAATATTCAGTGGATCAATCTGTTGATGCGCTCAACCAGACACGATTCACTAAACGTTTTGAGAGTTCTCGAAGTTTATTTTTCTTGGATCACCGTTTTTCGAGAATATTGATGACTCGCCTGAAATTTACTCCATTTATAGAAATACATTAAACATAGCCTGAATAAAATCGGACAACAGAATTTTAGATTCGTGCATCAAATGGTGAATACTACTTCGATATATACGCATTCATTCTGATGAAAATAATCGTTGGGTTACCTAGTCCTAGTGGTCGCAAAGCTGCGGACAATTTTTGTTTCTCTTTTTGCGTCTTAAGTGGAAATAACTTGCTGAAATGCTCAGTGAAGAGAGTCAGTACACTATGCAGATCTGATGAAGAGCTCCGACTGGTGAAATAGACCCT